TTCCTAAGTTGCACTAAGAAATTGCAATTTGCACCTCCAGAGAGGAGTTCAAAAGTAGCTGCATTCGCACAGGAAATGCAATACTGTTTCCATCGCTGCCATCTAAGAAGCAGCTGCGGCTATCTGTTTAGGGACGTCATTTTAAAATATGCTTTCCAAAGGAGTAATGGCCCGTGATAGTTGTTACGATTACAAATACTTGTACCCTTGACCTATTTAGCAGCTCCACCATTATTACAACGCTTTTATCAACTTGCAATGTTGTATGTCCAGATTACAATTTATAGAAAGGTTTTCTTCCTGACTTAGTTAGGCCAAAGTTCACGTGCTGTCTTATAAAGTTTTGGATCTCTGACCACCTCTTCCTGCTTGTTTCAGAAAGTGACAAGTGGATTTCTGTTTGTATTTATCTTTGCCAACACAAAGATTCTTTATATAGATTGCCCACTGTGACTGTAATTACACTTAAAAAATCTCATTTCGAGTTACCCACCTACCCAGAGGAAACAAATTCTCCCTGTTTTTGAAAATAACTAAAGCGCAAATAGGATAGCACTATTTACGCGCTTGAAAAAGTTCCCTCTGCTTTGAATTAGCAATATTCATTTGATAAGCAATATGGCGTATGCAAACTAAACTAATTTTGGAAATAAAAAGAATGTAAAAATAGAAAAAAAGTTCTTGCGCATTGGAGGCGTTTATGTACATAAATATGTACATATGTGGGCAAATCTAAGAAAAGGTCACACTTGTGTTATTTAGCTTTATTTTTATTGTTGTAAACTATATTAAGCTGGTTGCTTTTGGATATAATTCATAGACGTATACTTGAAGCCTCAAAAAAAAATTGGATCAATTTGGTGCATAACTTTTGAGTTATAGATGTTTTAATTAAAAAAAAATATATATATTAAATAAACAAGTGAATTTTTATGCAATATTAAGAAGAGAAAAATTAATTATATCATAACTTTTGACCCATAACGGTTTGAAATTGTATGTATGTATTGTTAATTAAAGGCAAGTAACGATAAGTGTGTAATTCTTCTTTTCGCAATTTACAAAATTTTCGGTTATCGCGTATAGTTTTTGAAGCATTTGATTTTCAAAAACCTTTTAAGTATATATCGTATTCTACAAACAATTGCGCAATAATTTATACCTTAGCAAGAGGTGTGCTTCTCAGAATAAACCAACTCAAAGATAAAATATTCTGCGACTTGAGCGTAATTTGTATTCCAAAATTATCTGAACT